ATGTTTACTATGTACAATGTGATGGGACAAGAGCAAAAGGGAGATCCAGGTGACATGTGCATCAGGGAGCTCTATTTTATTAAAGGTATTGGGAACCTGTAGGGAAAAGACATAAACAGTGTTTTCAGCTGTCACTCAAAAGCCATCTTCCACATGTGTAAAATCTCAGATGGGCTGTTGGTCACAATGTTTTACTGTTATGCATCTATCAATGTCATCAAAAGCAGTTATCCTCAAACACCAAGATGGTAATTAAATAATATTGAAATGTAATAATATTTAGTGCATGTTAATGATTAGAAAAGTAGATAATTTAAAAAATTATAGGTTATTTTTTAATCTTATGTTATTTGTAAATATTACTTATATTTAAATATAAATGTATATGTATTTTTACACATTACTCATCATTAACATATATCTAATGTATTAGTTTGTTCTTGTGCTGCTAATAAAGACATACTTGAGACTGGGTAATTTATAAAAGAAAGAGGTTTAATTGACTCACAGTTCCACATGGCTGGGGAGGCCTCATAAGCATGGCAGAAGGCAAGGAGGAGCAAAGTCACATCTTACATTGTGGCAGGCAAGAGAACTTGTGCAGGGGAACTCCCACTTATAAAACCATCAGATCTCATGAAACTTGTTCACTACCACATGAACAGTATGAGGAAAACAACTCACGTGATTCAATTATCTCCACCTGGCCTCACCCTTGACACCTAGGGATTATTACAATGTAAGGTGAGATTTGGGTGGGAACACAACCAAATCATATCATCTAATATTCTTACATGTAGTGAGACCTTAAGAATTTTACTTCATAAGGGGTTTTGTTATAGGAAAGATTAGGGCCTTTGCTTTTCCCCATTTGGAATTTCAAAGTCGCCTAACAGATTGGTGGCATATAAGCAGGTGTATAAGCACATACCAAATGCACTTATAAATTAAGAAAATCTTTCCAAAACATATAGATATTAATGTCTGCAAAGTTTTTAAAGGAATAAGCCAGGAATTGATGAGTAGTAATGCACAAGAAGTGAGCTGGATGAGAGTAACAGCTGCCATGACTACCAGAAGACGTAGATTCTTCTCCTGATTTAGCCGCAAGCCACCTGGATGACCTTGGCCAGTGCAATTAACAAACATTTGTTGGGTATCATGGAAGACTTCATAAACTGGAAATCACACAAGATGAACAAGAACTGGTTCCTGACCACAAGAAGTTTATGAGCTAGTAGGGAAGAGAAGACATCCAATTATAACTAAAATGGCAGAATGAGGATAATAAAAAGAAGAGCAAACCAACCACAATAGGAGCTTAGAACTAAGAGTAGAGAGAAAAGCCATATATATATATATATATATATATATATATATATACACACACACACACACACACACACACACACACACATATAAAGGCTGAAGAGAATAAAGTTTGAAGGAAGGTTTTATAAAAAGAGGGCACATGAAATGAGCCTTACAGGTGGATATGCTTTTGATAAGGAAACCTAATGGTGGCAGGTCACTCAGAAGCAATGGAAGAGAAATTTGAACATGTGAAGTTCTGAATTTGGCCACCAGGTGTTTTTAGCCTAGACAAGAGCTCACTGGGTCACCTATGACTCTTCAGAAATTTGTGTTTGAGATACTTGTGATAGAAATTCATGATTATCAAGATAAGAAGTCTACACAGTATTTTCTTTTTTCTTTTCTTTTTTTTTTTTTTTTGAGATGGAGTTTTGCTCCTGTTGCCCATGCTGGAGTGCAACGGCATGATCTTGGCTGACTGCAACCACCACCTCCCGGGTTCAAGCAATTCTTCTGCCTCAGCCCCCCGAATAGCTGTGATTATAGGCATGTGCCATCACACCTGGCTAATTTTGGATTTTTAGTAGAGACGGGTTTTCTCCATGTTAAGAATTGAAAGAGCCACTGAAAGGTGAGTCAGATAGCATCATGATCACAGCTGTGCTTAGAAAGTCATCTCCAGCAGTGCTACGGGAAATGGACTGAAAGAAAAAGGGGCAGGACCAAGAAAGTGAGTCAGTGGTGCAGAAGCAAGGAATCTGGGGCAGAGACAACCAGGACCTGTGCCATGCAGAAGAATGGGGATAGAGGAGAGGTCTGGATTCAAAGTGGTTCATAAGATGACTTGATAGTTGACTGGATAATTTGGTGAGGGAGAGGGTATAATCCATGGGTAATGTAAACCTTCTGGCTTTAGTGTCTAGGTGAATGTTGATGTCACCAAGACAGAAAGTAAAAGAAAAGGAACAGACTTGTTGAGGAAGATAAGGTGTTCAATTTAAAGCATGGTGTGTCTGAGGAGCTTATAGAACACTGAGTTGGAAAAGCTTAGAGTGATGATTCTTAACCAGGGACAATTTTGCCTCCCCCACCACCTGACACAACAGAAGATACTTAGAAATGTTTGGGGGCATTGTTGGTTATCATAACTGGAGGAAGTGGAGGTTGCTGCTGGCATCTAGCTGGTAGAGTCCAGGGATGCTGCTAAACATCCCAAAATGCAAAAGACAGCCCCTTGTATTAGTCTGTTCTCAAGCTGCTAATAAAGACATATGCAAAACTGGGTAATTTATAAAGAAAAAGGTTTAATGGACTCACAGTTCACATGGCTGGAAAGGCCTCACAATCATGGTGGAATAAGGAGCAAAGTCACATCTTACATGGCAACAGGCAAGAGAGAGAGCATGTGCAGGGAAGCTCCCTTTTATAAAACTATCAGATCTCATAAGACATTCACTATCATAAGAACAGCAAGGGAAAGGCCTGCCCTCATGATTCAATTACCTCCCACTGGGTCCCTCCCATGACACATGGGAATGATGGGAGCTACAATTTGAGATTTGTATCATATCACCCCTCAACCAAGGAAGAATCATATCAGCCCTCAACCGAGAAAGATCTGGCCCAAAATGTCAATAGCAAAGAGATCGACAAATCCTGGTCTAGAAGGAATTAAAACTTCCAATCTAAAGTTTTAGAAAGTAGAAATGAATAGGCTTAAGAACTTTTAGTCATTCATACATCTGTGAGAGATGGGGAAGAAAATTAGCCACCACTGGAGTATACAGAAAAGAAACAGAAGGCTGTAGCTGATAAAATTCTAGGCCATATCATCTCATTGGCAATATGAGTTTGTTAGGTACAGTAATGTCAAACATCTTTACATATTCAAAATGCAATTATTTGATGACTGTTCTCAAGCAGGTGTGTATGCAGAAGACAGATATGATCACCACACATTGTATGTATCAAAATATCACTATGTACCCCATGAATCTGCACAATTGTGTCAATGTTTTAAAAACAATTAAATTTAAAAAAAAGAAGATAGATACAGATGAGGATGGAAATCAAGGAGCAAATGAGTTATGAATGCCCAAAAACCTAAACATGGTAGATATATTCCAGGCAATAGGCAGGGAAATATTACTTGCGGTCTAATATTTTCATCTGCAAACTTTATATAACTTGGTTACAAACCCACAATGCTATAAGGCAAAAAAAAAAAAAAAAGAGGATAGGAGGAGGAAGAAAAGAGGAAAGCAAAGGAAAAGAGAAGAGAAACAAGATAGGAAAAAATGGCAAGGAAAACAAGGAATGTAAAGGAAAGAACAGAGTGAAGGCATCCTCTAGAAGGCTGACAGAATACATTGTGAGTACAGTTCTAAGGAATAAGACTAGTGGCCATTCTTGATAATTTTGTGAAACTGTGATATCAAAATATATTCTACAGACAGCAAAATCTGCTTCTTGAACCATATCACCACTGTTTTTCAAAAGCTGTGTTAACACAAAAAGACAAAACAATAACCAACACCTTGAACAATTCTCCGGTAGTTAAATAAATTTTGCTGCAACTCTGCTCCAGGCACTTGGCAAGTGTAGAAAGACAGTGAAATGCTCTGAAGTAAAGGATCATGCAGAGATGCGCTGTGGGCCACCTGGCAGCCTTAGACTGCTGGGCACAAAGGCAAAAATAGGATTGCAAGAAACAACAAAATCATTCTTTTCTTGTCCAAAATGTTATGTAGCCCACAAAGACAAGATTTACCTGGAAAACAGAATGCTGTGGCAGCAAACCAAAGTAGGCATCACCGAACATGAAAGAGTGGAAAGATCATGTGCCCAGGACAGGAGGTATAGAGCATACCAGAGCCAGAAAGATCTTGAATTTGAACTCTGGTTCCACCATTAGCGAGTTTTCTGCTTTTTGCAAGTAGCAGGATGTCTCTGCGACTTATTTTTCTTTCTCGTAAAATGTGGATGATGAAATTCCTGTCTCCTAGGAGTCTGGTGATTTAGTCTGGTGATTAAATGAGACAATGTATGTAAAGCATTTAACATAGCAGCTGGTGCAGGGTGGAGGCTCTATCAGTGGCAGCTGCTATTAAGTAATATGTAAATTCTATTGCTCCAAGCAATGATTGAAAAAAAAATGGCACCCACATTCTGAGGCAACCCCAGAATGGTATGTTAAAAAAGGTAACATATTTTAAAACTAAAATGAATTTTTCTACTTGTAAGTAACCTTCAGAACTCTCTGGTCAAATTTCCTCATTTTGCTGATGGGAAAATTGGAGAAGAAAATGAACATGTTATTGTGGCTTGAATGTACAAGAAGCAAAAATAGATTTTAATTAAAGAGAGATTATATTATTTTTATGTGACACAAGTTGAAGATGGAGTTAGAAAATTACCATTCATGATGAGTGTGTGTTTGTGTGTGTGTGTGTGCGTGTGTGTGTATCAGAAATAATAGAGTTCTTCTGAGGCGATGTCTAACAGAAAGTTATCCTTAGCTTTCCGTGAATTTGACTAACCTAATCATCCCCAGTGCACCCATTTGTCAAGTAAACATACCTAATAAAGTTCTCTGAAGCTTCACAGAGGGATGAATAAAATCATTTCTGAATGAACTGATGATCATAAAGAACATGCTTCTCCTAAGCTGCAGCCAGGTCACTTACCTGTCCAAGAGCAAGTTAGGAGCAAACAGGAGTTTCCCTGGGTGCTCCATGGAGCGCCAGACGAGACCAATCATCAGGATCTCTAGCCAGGCACATTCTAGAAGGTGGACCTGATCATGGAGGGTCAAATCCACAAAGCCTGAAAACAAGCAAGAAAAACCCTGCTGACTCAAATGAAAAAGACTCATTACTAGTGAAATTAATGCAACAGAGATTTGAACGGACAAGGTCTATTGTCTACTAGATGGAGTAAATGCAATACAAACATATTTTTTAGTAAAGTCAAGTAATTATTTTTTAAATCTAGCTATCTCAATGAATTTCAATGTGGCATTAAGTTTCTTGGTGCCATAGTGTTACATCTACAGAAATGTACCAAATTGAGCAACACACTTAGCATTCTATATAGAGTTATACTCAGTGTGAAAACTTGTGTGCATTCTACTTAGTCACTTCTGATAGCACTCTGTGACTGTTCCTCATTTCTGTTTGAGTAGAAGATGCTAAGGTGCAAGAAATTTAAATTACTTGCCTTAGACCAAACAGGAATTGGAGCACAGGCAGAATGAAAGTCACTAAATTTCTATTTCTTTGCTTTATCCCTAAGCCACACTCATTTTCTGTAACATGTACAAGAAAGATTCATAAAACACCGTATATAAATAAATCACTTGGGAGAATGAGTCAGATGAAAAAAAAGGTGACATTATGATTACTTAGGGTAATAACCACTAAAATGTGTGCTTGTTTTCTAATGATGAACTAAGAGATTAAAGCTTTTTCCAATCATTAACTGATATTATTGTGGTTAACTAATAATAATAATGAGGAGGAAGGAAAAAAAGAAGGAAGAAGGAAGAACAAAAGGAAAAGGAAGAAGAAGACAAGGAGGAAGAAGAGTTTGTTGAACCCTTACTATGGGTTAGAAGCAATCCTAATATTTCTTGTGCACAATTATTTATGAATGCAACAACCTGAAGAGGTAGGAACTGATATGGCCATTGTACAGATAAGAAGACAGATGCTCAGAGAGCTGATTTGTCTGTTGAAGCCAAAACATGTGCCTTGACCACAGTGGACACTATCTCTTCTGAGCTCCACTTAATTCGAGAATTTGGATCAAGTGACTAAATAAATCACACACCACACACATTAAGATATGTCAGAGTGACAGGGACAATAAATGAATCAAGTATCCATAAAGATTGCACCTTCCAAGTCAGTCCCCTATTCTTTTGCCCTAAGGCATCCCCCCATAGTCTATTTTCCTTCTTTCTCTATTTGCCCTCAACCCTTTCTTCTCTCTTATCCATGAGAATGGCTCTAGAATCCCACTGAGCGTATGTGTGTGCTTGTTCTTTTTTCTCTCACAAATATTACACTATTTGCTATTACTCTATTAGCTATATTTGTGTTGATAGAAAAGACAAGATGGAATTTTGCTTTCCTTTAACAGTCAAGTATGAATGGTCTGCCTACAGGATGTTTCTTCTTGTGGGTCTTGGAGGTAACAAAAACTCAGCATGATAAACAGGTAGTTATCATTTCTTACATGCTTAAGTATCATCTTTCAGATAATTGTTATATCCAAATACGTAATGATCCACATAGGGAAACCAAAGCTAGAGACAGACCTCAAAGTCTACACTCCCTCTCTTTTCATCATTTCATAATCAAAGTTCATCAATTCTTTGAGGTTACTATAATTTTCTCCTTTTCATTGCCACTGTTGACACACTAATTTAGTTCCTAACACTCTCTTACCTTTTTGCCTGACTTGTTTAACTCAGCATAATTATTTTAAGATTTATCCATGTGGTTGCATGTATGAACAGTTGATTCTTTTTATTGCTAAATGGTATTCCATTGCATGGATATATCCCATAAATGAATATAATGTATCCTTTCATTGGACATTCGGATTGTTTCTAGTTTTTGGCTGTTACAAATAAAGCTGCTACAAGCAATTTTTATACAAGTTTTTGTATGGACATATGCTTTTATTTCTCTTGATTAAATACATAAGAGTAGGATATCTGGATATATTATGCCAGGTGTATATTTAACTTTTTAAGAAACTGTCAAACTGTTTTCAAAGTGGTTGTGCCATTTACATTCTGACCAGCAATACATGAAAGCACCAGTTGCTCTACATCTTCACCAATGCTTGGTATGGTCAGTCTTTTAAATTTTATACATTTGGCCAGGTGCAGTGGCTCATGCCTGTAATCCCAGCACTTTGGGAGACCGAGGTGGATGGATCACCTGAGGTCAGGAGTTCAAGACCAGCCTGATCAACATGGAGAAACATTGTCTCTACTAAAAATACAAAAAATCAGCTGGGCCTGGTGGCACATGCCTATAATCCCAGCTACTAGGGAGGCTGAGGCAGGAGAATTGCTTAAACCTGGGAAGCAGAGGTTGTGATGAGCTGAGATCATGCCACCACACTCCAGCCTGGGCAGCAAGAAAAACTCCATCTCAAAAAAAAAAAAAAAAAAGAGAGAGAAAATTTATACATTATAATAGATATACAGAGGTATCACACTGGCACTGTGGTTTTATGTGCATTTTCTTAATGATTAATAATGTTGCACATCTTCTCATGTGTTTTCTAACAGATCATTTTGCTATACTGTATTCAAATTAATTATGCATGTGTCTGTAAATTCTGCTAGGCCATATACACATTGTAAGCACAAGATGCATGATCCTGTCAAATTTTGCTTTTTGTAAAGTTTAAATTTATTGCACCTTCCACTACATCACTGAGCCATGCAAGGCTCATGATAGAATAGCCTGTCTCAGAGCAAGTGTCTTTCCATTGGAAAGAGTGGATTCCACTCATATAAAGCAGGATTCGGCATCTGGAAAAATGAGAAAGTGGGTGGCTTTGTTCATAAGAAAAAGTAAAAGATGAAAAAGCAATGATTTGTTTTCTAATCCCCAAAGGGTAAGGGCAGGGAGGGAACAGGCATCTCTACAGTGTACAGTGATTTACCTATGGAATGTACTGGGTCAGAGGGAACTTGCCTTGCTCTTGAGGAAACATGTCCTATGAAGCAGTAAATGCTCCTTTCTCAATACCCACAATCTAATAGGACAAACCAAACCCATTTTAGTTTAAGTCAGCAGTACTATAAATGAAAGCCCTCTGGGTTTCATTTATTAATTTCATAATTCTTTAAGATTTCACTCCAATCTTTCTTTTTCCTTTTTTAAATTATACTTTAAGTTCTGGGATACATGTGCAGAATGTGCAGGTTTGTTACATAGGTATACACATGCCATGGTGGTTTGCTGCACCTATCAACCCCTCATTTACATAATACTATCCCTCCCCTGGCCCCGCACTTCCACCCTAGATTTCACCCCAATCTTTTAGGTGAAGTCTCATAATAGTAACGTAAACTTACACTGTAAATTAAACTTATTTGCAGAAATGTTAACATTCAAAAGGGAGGCTTTTTATCTTCTCTCATGACATTTGCTATATGTAATATTGCCACCCATAAGGAAACCTATCCCACCTTATTTAAACCTCAATAACCTACATAAACCTCAAAAAGAATCACACATGATGAGATCTGGGGGTGTCTCATGAGTTCTCAGAACTGCAGTTGACCATGTAACCAATCAATATGGAAAACCAAAAGCCCTCTTTCTGATGGCAACTTTACATATTAAATGGAATTATAATTTTTAATTCCCACTTTACGGTTTCAGTATTATTTAGATCTGACAGTTTTAGTGGCCTTTTGGAAGCCAAAGAAGCTCCCCATAAGCACTTGTGCCACGTAAATAAGGCGATTATGAAATCTGTCTGAAGTATGTCTGTTGGTAATAGTTTTCAGTCGGAGGCCAGCAGGATTGCTTGATCCTTCTGTTGAAATGTTGTAGACCTCTCGAAAAGAGTCTATTTAATTATCTTTCCCAGCTGTGCATATTGTCTGCAGACAAGGGTTATTACATCTGTTGCACAGTGTGCTCTGCAAGTTCCTGGGTCAGGGTTGGGGGAGAGTGTCCAGGAAAGGTTATCAATCAACCTTCTCAATGAATGTGAAGACTATAAAAGATTATTAGATGGAGTGTCTCTCTTCTTTCAATATACTGGTCTCAACTTTACCACCCAGCAGCTAACTACCTTTTCAGCGTGGAATACATGTCCATGAGATGCCTACAGTTCATAACCAATGGAGAAAAATAATGTAATAAATCCCAAGCAAAATAATATTGGGCAAACTACAGATACACATCAAGTTTCAATCCCTTGGCTTATTTTCCTGATAAACAGGAAGAATGTTCTAATATGCAATTCCAAATGAATGTGCCATAGTCACTTAGAGGCATCCAAAAAGTAAATCCCATTCTCTCTTGAACACTCAAAAGTGTTGCCATTAATAAGGTGGGAGCTTAACGGCTGCTACGAAACATAAGGAAAGGTATCAGTGACAGATATTCTTGCAGGTGGCAAGTCAGTGGTGACTCATCCCCCATCACTTGAGGAACCCCTCCTTTTTTTTTTTTTTAGATGAATTCTCACTCTGTTGCCCAGGCTAGAGTGCAGTGCCATGATCTCAGCTCACTGCAACCTCCACCTCCCTGGTTTAAATGATTCTCCTGCCTCAGCCTCCAGAGTAGCTGGGACTACACCACATGCCACCACGCCCAGCTAATTTTTGTATTTTTAGTAGAGACAGGGTTTAACCATATTGGCCCGGCTGGTCTTGAATCCCTGACCTTGTAATCTGCCCCCCTCAGCCTCCCAAAGTGCTGGGATTATAGGCGTGAGCCACCACACCCGGATCTCCATCTTAATGACATGGGGGCAGTGGGCCTGTGGCCTTCATACAGGAGAGACAGAATGCATATTGAAAAAGTAATAGCAATAGTTTGATAAGACTAGGTGAAATCAGGTGCTTGGAAATCTCATTTAATAACATAATTTAAAAAAAAAAAAAAGCTAACTCAGGCTTTTTTTCCTAGTCTATATTCATAAGTCCCAGGAATAGAGTATCCAGAGAGGATATACTGAAAACAGAGAGAAATGCCTTAAAATTCTTACTCCTCATTCCCTGAATGAGCAGTAATGTAGCTAATAAAATTGAGGGGAGCCTCTTTTTATGGCAAAATTCACCC